TGTTAAGACAGATGAGTGAGTAGGTAGATGGGTGAATAGGTAGGTAGATGGATTGATGGACAGATGAATGAGTGGGTGGGTGAATGGATGTATAGACTGATGTACAGACAAATGAATGGATGGATAGACTGATGGACAGATGGATAGACAGACAGATATACATACATACATACATACATACATACATACATACATACATACATACATGATAGATAGATGGACAGATGAAATGGTGGAGGGATGGGTGAATGGGTAAAAGGATAGATGCTGTGGTGGTTTGAATGAGAATAACCCCCATAGGTTCATATACTTGATGCTTAGTCACCAGAGAGTGGAACTGCTTGATAGGATTACAAGGATTAGGAGGTGTGGTCTTGTGGGAGGAAGTGTGTCACTGGGGATAGGTTTTGAGGTTTCAAAAGCTCAAAAGCTTATACAAGGCCTAGTGTCTCTCTCTCTCTCTCTCTCTCTCTCTCTCTGTTTGTCTGTCTGCTTGCAGTTCAGGATGTAGTGCTCAGCTATTTCTCTAGCACCATGCCTGCCTGCCAACATGCTATCTACAATGGTAATTGATTAAGCCTATAAAATGGTAAGCAAGCCTCCAATTAAATGTTTTCTTTTATAAGAGTTGCCATAGTCGGGCTGGAGAGATGGCTCAGCCATTAAAGGCTAGGCTTACGACCAAAAATATAAGAGTTGCCATGGTCATAGTGTCTCTTCACAGCAGTAGAACAGTAACTAAGAAAGATGTTCAGATGAATGGGTGAGTAAATGAACAGATAGTGGATGGACAGATGGATGGGTGAATGGATGGATAGACAGATATATGGATGGGTGAGTAGATAGATGAATGGATGGATGGATGGATGGATGGATGGATGGATGGATGGATGGATGGATGGATGGGCGGGCAGGAAGATGGATGTTCAGACAGATGGTGAGTAGATGGAGGGATGGGTGAATGAGTAGGTAGGTAGATATATGGACAGATGGATGGGTAGATTGATGAATATGTCAATAGGTGGATGGACAGATGGATGGGTCAATGGATGGTAGATAGAAAAACAAATTTACACCCAATTTCCATCCCAGCCATTTGCTCTTTAATGCCTTATCCTGTTGTAGAATATTATTTTAAGATGTGTTACATTTGTTTATGATGTGGAACATTTGTTTTAACGATGCAAAGATGTGGTGCATTCTTTTACATTGCATTTGTTTAACTCTGTGAAGCTGTGTTACTTTGCCTGTCTAAAATACCTGTTAGTCTAAAAAGGAGGTGAATGGCCAATAGCAAGGCAGGAAAGAGGATAGGTGGGGCTGGCAGGCAGGGAGAATAACTAGAAGGAGAAATCTGGGAGGAAAAGAAGATGGAGCAAGAGAACAAGGAGAGGAGGATGCTAGGGGCCAGCCACCCAGCCACAAGGCTAGCCATGGAGTAAGAGTGAAAGTAAGATATACAGAAGTAAGAAAAGGAAAAAGGCCAGAGGCAAAAAGTAGATGGGATAATTTAAAGTTAAGAAAAACTGGCAAGAAACAAGCCAAGCTAAGGCCAGGCATTTATAATTAAGAATAAGCCTCATGTGTGATTTACTTGGGAGCTGGGTGCCAGGTCCCCCAAAAGAGCCAAAGGAGCAAAAACAACAAACAACACCATCCCCTCTTCCAGTGACCAGAACCAGCTGCTCCGAGCTGCTCCTGCTGACCTAAGGCACAGGCTGGCTCTGCGCCCTGCTCAGGTCTTCAGTTTATAACTGGAAGCTTCTCTCTATTCTCCCCTCCTTGGATTTCAGGGACCTCCTCCTCCCACCCCTGCCCTGAGATGCTTGTAGCTCACTGTCCTGCGCCCCAAGCCAAAGGGACTTGTCTGCCGACTCAAACGCCCATTCCCCTTATCTGCAGAGCCAGAGCCAGGCTGCAGCAGATCTCTGGGGTGACTGAAATGGCTCAACCCCCAGCAAAGAACAGGCTTCCGTTCACACTCCTGGCAAGTCTTCCGGCGAGCTGACAGGGCCTCACCGTTCCCCGGAGACTGCCTGCTGACAAACTCTGTGGTGATGTGCTTTATATGGCAGTTCTTTCACGTCACAGCCCCAAGGCCCTCAGCTCTGGCTGTGGCCCAGGCAATGCTCTCCGGACCGTCACTCCTGCAGAAGATGGAGAGCAGGGGGCAGAGGCTTAGGGCCTCTTACCTCTGTGGCGTGACCCCACCAGGGCTGGGAGACTCAACTCTGGGGAGGCACACTGTTCAGAGGGCTGTTATAACCAGGTTAGCCTCCACCCTGGCGTGGGCCTCACCCCAGAATACAGTGCAGAGAAATAAAAGCCAGGAGGGCTACAGAGACGGCTCTGCAGATACGGTGTTGGTGGTACAATTGTGAAGACCAGATTTCAGAGCCCTAGAGCCCACGCAAATGCCAGGCAGACGTGGCAGCCCACCTGAAATTCCACAGCGTGGGAGGCAGAGATGGGATTCCTGGTGTTCTGAGCTGACTAGCCTGGGAGCTTTGGGTTGAATTCAGAGACCTTGTCACAGTGAATAAGGTTGAGATCAGTCAGGGAAGGCTCTGAAGTTAAGCTCTGACCTCCACACATATGCACACACAGCCATACACATACATGCACCCAGACACCAACATCCACACATGAACATGTAATACTCTTAAACATGCACAGAAGAAAGGAAAAATGGAAGGAAGGAAGGGAGGGAGGGAG